CCAAGCGTTTTTTCTTAAATATCTAAAATATGTATCATTCTGATCACATACTTTCACTTAAATAAACAACTGCAGTCATTATACAAAATTCTGTATTCCAAACTGTATTTCATTTTAAGTTCTAATGTTTATTAAAAAAATCTCTTTTGGTACATCCTCAAGCACTTTTTAACACTGTTCAAACTAAATCTTCCTTGTAACTTTGGTAACTACATGGTTCTCTCTCAAAACCAAGTGCTTCACCATAGGCAGTATACATCACATGTCTGAAAGGTAACAGATGGGAGGCAAAGTTTTGCACTACCAGGAAAGGGTAGTGACACTTACACTGACCCAGACCACTGACTGTTCAGTTCAGTAATGTTGACACCCACTGGCAGTGGTTATCCAAGGTATCCCAACGGCTCTACCTGGAGATGCAGGGAGGTGAATGTGGAACCTTCTGCATGCAAAACAGATGCTCTGTAACTGACCTACAGTCTTTCCCCTTCAGAGCACAAGTCTCTTAAGCCTTCACTGTAACTGATATGAGATATAATGTGTGACTGAAAGCCCAACACACTGGTCTGTACTATGCACAAGTTTTTATTTTTATTTCTAGATCAAATAGTGCTGAGTTTAGGGTGTGCAGTGTTTTGTTTTATTCTCTTAAATAGCAGCCCACTTTTGCTTTAAGGATCAAGGATGTGGCCCTCTGGGACAGCATGCTAAATCCTCTTCTCGCAATGTAAATGCATTTATTGACCAAAGATGCTGTTAGCTCCTGGGTTAGGATAAAGGAAACAGAATATTGGTAATAATTGAGAAAGATTCCTGCTGAACTGGTGTGTGGAAGGCATCCCTACAGTGGATTAATTCCCTTTATTATCCAGCAAATACAGAGACCATGTGTCACACTGATTCTGGAATTTCTGTGTCAATCCTATCTGTGGTTACAGCTCAGTAAAAGAAGTTAGGGAAAAAATATATTCCCCCAGGATAAATGGAAAAGCATAAGAACCACAGATGAAAGGAGAAAACTTTCCAGGGAGGATAAATACATAAAGTAAATAGAAATTAGATCCCAGAGTTATGGCCTGACTCATAAGATGCAGAGGCAGGCAACTGTGGTGGATAATCAATAGATTCAAGAACAAAAGAGCCATAGCGTGGTATTGATTCTGTGGCTCCAATGTCAATCTAGTGCTGGATAATTTGGGATATGATATGAAGTTTTCTGAGACTCTCTAAATGTAGGCAGAGAGCCATGGGCAGGCGGGCACTGTCTCTGTAAATGGCAGGCAACCAAGGGTGGGGGAATTCTATGAAATAGCTGTTGTTCCTGACTTCAGAACTATCTGATGACCTGGATTGTCTGGCTGGAATGAATGAGGTTTGGAGGGGGGATTAACAGAGTTAGGGTTTCTGGTTTGGAAGCATGACCAAGACCATGAAGGTCTAGAGTATCCACAGCCTCTGGAAAATAAGGAGGACTGGTTAGGACCCTTGAAGGAATAACTGGAGGAATGATTTCTGCTTAAAGGTTTTATCTTTGCTCTCCAAGAGGAGGAGAACATCATTTTCTTTTCATCTTTAATCTCTGTTAGGATACCTTTAATGGCTTTTTCTCCAACGAGATGGGCTACTGGAGAATATGTCCAGATTCCAACATTTCAGTCAATCAGACCTAGGAGCTACAATGGAAGCTGTAATACAGCAGCATTAAAATGTACTACCTCCTGGATGGGATCTTTTGGGATCTTTTAGAATTTTATTATGTAATATAAAATACCTTCAGTCCATAAGGTTGAAGCTATGGCAAAATAAGGAGATAGCTGAGGTACACAGGGTAGTGGGCTTGATCGTCCCTTAGAGCAATATCAAATCTACATTTACCCTGATCCCGAATGGCAGCATTCTTGTCTTTTGGCATAATGGCACCTGAGATTACTGCTGACACTGGAAAATCTAGCAAGGGTTTTAGGCTCTTCCACAAAATCCTGTGGCAGTGTAGTGCTGAGCAGTATGTGCCCTTTTTGCGTGAAGGGGAAAACCCTTCCTACGGGCTGTGGGCCAGATCCAGCCCACCATGCCCTGTGCCGGCTCAGAGGTTTTGGACTTGCTCAGAGAAAACCATCTCTGAGTGAGTCCAAAAGCTCTGAGCCGGCACAGGCATTCTTTATAACGGAGTGATTTGGCCTGCTGCCCCTCCTCACAGAAGGCCGTTAGGGCAGAGGTTGCCCCTTCTCGCTCTCACCCGCTGTTCCCTCGATTTGACCCAACGAGGCTACCCCTTTCCCAAGCCAGGCCTCATCGTGGACGGCCCCGGGTGGTTTCCCTCCCACCAGCAGTGCAGGGCCAGGACTGGCGCGCAGCAGGCGCCTCGCGAGGGCCGGCTTACAGGTGGCGAGATGCGGCAGCCAGCGGGCGAGGGAGGTGGGTGGGTGAGCAGCCTGCTCCTGCGAATGCTGGGTTGGGGACGAGGAGATGAGAGCCTGGCACTGCCAGGACTCCCTGATACTTGCCTGCCATTTACAGAGACGGTGCCCGCCTGCCCATGGCTCTCTGCCTACATTTAGAGAGGCCGGGGGCGAAGTGGCTGGTGCTTCCTAAAGAAAACAACCCAGGTGTGTGTGTGGGGGAGCAACTGATATGCCAGGGGTTGCTCACTCTGCTCAAATCCTGTCAGGCTAGGCAGGAATCCCGAGGCAGACAGGCTGAGGCAGAGCGGCTTACTTGAAGAAAGCTGTGGAGGAGCAAACTTACTCAGAGAAAGCTGCAGGGCTCCCACGCCTCCACCGCGGTATTCTCCGAGCAAGTGATCAAACATTTTTTAATTTTTAATTAATTTTAAATGTTAATTAATTTATAAATTTATTTTAATTAATTTTCTAATGTGCAGTCTGCCCCCCCACCCCAACAGTCTGAGGGACAGTGAACTGGTACCCTGTTGAAAAAGTTTGAGGACCCCTGATTCAAGTATCTGAAGAAGGAAACTCTTTGGTGGCTGACTGAGGATTACGAAACATAGCCAGGTCTTTTAAGAGAAACTGTGTTGTTTCTGGCCCTGCTGGGATAAAGGCTAAATCGATATTGATTCAGAAAACCCTCTTAACTGGCTACAGAGACATCTGCATCCTCTGTTGTCTCTAAATATGACCACCACCTTCCCTTCCTGTTCAAGTCATCCATTCCACAGAAGGTGGGGCCAAAGCCTTCCTTGAGTAGCTTTTTCTGCACAGCTCATCTTTTCTGCCCATTCTAAACACATTCCAACCACCAAAATCATGCCAGGACACCTTGTTTTTCTAACCTTAACCCAGTGATGGTGAACCTTTTAGAGACCGGGTGCCCAAACTGCAACCCAAAACACACTTATTTTATCTCAAAGTGCCAGCACTGCAATAAAACCTGAAAACTGAGGTTTTAAGTTTAGGAAAACTCCTAACACCAGTCCAAGCAAAAAATATATATTCTTGGCAGCGCACTGATCAGCCATGCAAAAGCTCAGACAAGTCATGGCTAATGAGTCGGAGCTCGTGATGTCATTTGCCTGGAGCCACTACTCCTTTCTGAGCATGTGCATGGCCCTCCTGTGCACCATTATCCGATGCTTGGCTACTCGGGCAATGCTGGGGTTACTTGGCTCACGTGCCGACAAGAGGGCTCTGTGTGCCCGCTGTGGCACGCATGCCATAGGATCACCACCACTGCCATAGAGGAAAGGAGGTACGGATTGGTTCTACTGCACTGGGTGGGACTCCACTAGGAGTTAAAAGTGACTCTCACTATTCTCTTTTGCCAAGATGCTTGTCCTCTGCACTGGTGGCCTCCTGATCCTTTCATATTCTGACCCTGAATTTAGACTCCAGAAGGACTCTGGGTCATTTTGGGAGAGAGTGACATGATTTGAAGACAAAGATGCCCTAACTCCTCAAGATCAGGCTGTTGCCACCTGTAGTGATATCCACAAAACTAAGTGGAAAGCCAGAACTGGCAGGCTGAGTCTTGCTAGACCCCTCCCACTACAGCTGCCTGGGAGGATCAAGCTATGGTGCAGGGACAAGATCATGGACCTGCTTAGGTTTTAGTGGGCCTCTAAGAAGTCTAGAAGTGACTGCTTTTGCTCCAGCTTTCTTTCTTTCCATAAGGAAGACAAGCAATAGAAGAACAAACAGTATAGAAACCAAAGCAAGTAGAGCTCAAAAAAGAAATTAACTCTCCCCCTTCCCCTTCGCACATGGGTTGGGGAGAGGAGAAGAACCAAGTTGGGACTGAAGAGAGAGAAAGACTAAAGAGATGAATAGTATAAGTATATAGCTGAAGAGAATCTAGTTACAGAAAACTGCAGCAGATAGGAGAGCAGCTCAGTCCTGGATTGCAAACATCCGGGACATGCAGGTAAGGAGGGATGCAGGATCCAGACACAGTCTCTACTTTTCCTGAGCAAGAGAAAGTGGAACTCACTGTAGGGATGCCCTTCTCTCTCCAACTTGGGGAAAGAAACGCTTGCCTCTATCCTCTACCAGATTTTTTACTTATGTGAAACTGCCAGCATTAATATTCTAGTCACGGTTCTCATGTACATATACCTGAACCTCTACAACAAAGGTGGGAAACATTTTTCAGGCTGAATTAGCTTTATCCAAGCACAAGGGAAACTACATGCCAGCAGAGAACAGAACCACATCCCACAGTAGTTAGGATGCCAGCCCAGTGTGACAGCTGTCCATATTTTCACACACACACATACACCTGGTGCACTCCTACTCCTACTGAAAACATCCCCTTACCAGCTATTTGGCTTTACAAAGCCTCCACAGATAATGATAGGGAAGAGACTGATTACAATGTGTGTGCTGGAGAGGGTGGGGGCAGTTCTGGAGCTGTCATAAACTTGCAAAATAGTTAGCCCTTCCCTCTCAAGCTGCAACCCTCTCCAAAATTGCCCTGCCCAATGCTGCAATTAGGCTTTTAGAAATTACTTTCTCACATTTTAGCCAAAGATGACAAGCACCTACCTGCTGTTGCACTGGTAACTGTTGTACCACCTGGGTGGGCACAGCTGCTTGGCCAGCTACAGAAGTCTGTAAAGTCACTGTCGAACTTGTGTCCGACCCAGTCTCTGACGTCTGCATTGTTGTTTCTGTATAAATTTTAAAAAATGTACATTAAATGAGCTCCGTTTGTACGTTTTATCTTTTGTTCTTTCTAATCATTAACTGAAAGACTTTTACCTTATATGAGAATGTGTTCTCTTTAAGCTGCCACTATTCTATAGGATAAAATTATTACCAGTATTTCATTTTCTTCATTTATTTAAAAACCTGCTTCAAAATTCAATACACCCAAAAATAAATACACTGGACAGTACTTAAGCTATTTTTGCTGCTCCTTCAATATACCTAACAGTTATGGGAGATTTCTGTGTTCCTGTCCCAGTAGCAACTTAAGCTTAAAATAAAGGATAAGCTATAAACTATAAAATAACTTAAAATAACCAAGCTTAAGGCACTTTTAAGTTGAAACTTGGAACTAGGTTAATAATAATGAATGCAATATTTTTTTAACCTCCTACCTTCAACATGTTTTATTTGCTTTTAGTGTTATTCTTCCCTTTCTTTTTCTTATTCAAGTAGAAAATAGATCCAGACTTTGCTTCCCTTTTGCATTACTGCTATCAATACAGCTGCCAGTAGGAAGGAAGTACTTTATGACAGGAAAAGCTCTACTCTTCTAAAATGGAAAGCATTACCCACTCCACTCACAGGTTTGCCTGAACGTGGTACTTCCAATGGTGGGCTTGTTTCCCCCGCCACATAAAGGCTATGACAACCAAGGTCAATGATGAAGGAAGGCAATTCAATCAAGTCCCCTCTTGTGAAGATCCTAACTATTATCAAGCCAAACACCTGGAGAAAAACCTATGTTGCAGGAGCTGTTCTGACCAGGAAATTAATCACTCTGCCCTTTGACTGATGGGAGCAGGGGCCCTCTGGGGAGGACATTTGCCCTCTGCTACTGCTCATAGACTGGGGGTGTGGGGGGTAAAAATACCAAACAGTATTGAACCACTTGTGGTACCCAGTAGACTTTTACAGTAAGAATCTGCCGAATTCCTCTAGAGTAGAAACTCTGTATGTGAATAGTGGAGAAAACTGGTTTGGCGATGGAAATCCATTGAATTTTCTCAGCCTGGCTCCCTGAACTCTGGTCTCCTTTCTCTCTGCCCCAAGTCTTCCTTGCACCAAGCATTCACACAGGCATCCAGCAGGAAGCAAATCTGAGTCTGCAAAGCTGGTTCACTCTCTTGTCATCCACCACTTGTGAATCTCCTGTGCAAGCAGACCTTTGCTTCCACACATGTGACTTGAGTGCTTTGCATACCTTGTGCAAAGAATTGTATATTTTGGGCAAAAAAATGGGTCCACTAGCCTTCTTGTGGGCTTAATCTTGGCTGGCCAGAATTAAGCATGGTAAAGAAGTCCAGCAAGCATAAGAGAATCAAATTCTGGCCAGATGTTTGCATCCATATAAGTAAAAGCTTGAACCCACTGAAACTAAAACACCTTTATTCAAATTACATGTGTAAGTTACCTCGAAGACTTACCAGAAGAAATTGGGAACTAAATTTGTTAAAACAATTCATGTTTCTCCAATCTTAAATACTTCATTCAGAACTTTGCTGCCCACATTTTCCACAACTCTTTGATAACAGCAGTTCTCTCTGATGGTCATTCCAAATTAGGAATTCCTAATTAGTTTTCCAAATTAGGATAAGCTACTACTTCATCATTTTGAAGCCCTTAAGGTACTTGGCTGATCTATACCTGCTACAACTCTCGCTACATTCTCCCATGTGCTTTTTTCCTCTACCTATTCTCGTCTTCCAATCCAGAACCTAAGATTTTGTTGGTCCTAATTTTGTCTTATACAAATGCATCCTTTTCATCTACAATACAAAGCAGCTTACAGGATTCATTTTTAAACTATTTTAGAACTAGAAGCACGCTCAGGGAAGAATGATGCAACACAATATTTAAGTTAATGGTCACTGTGATGCTTAGAGGCATTCCCACTAAGAAGGGAGTGCTGAATAAAAGCAATGATAAATTGAACATAAACTCTTCCCTGCCCCTACCCACTTACATATTAATGATCAAATGTGTGCTTTCTAAGCAGAGAGAATAAAAGTCATATATTAGTGAAATGAATGAAATAGTAATGGTGAAATTACAGTTTGAATAGGATTTTAAGTGTGCTACTTTGTTAGTTTTAGAGGCTGATTTAGTACATTTACAGAACAATCCAGTGTGCTGAGAGCCAGTCCACTGTGGTGGTGGTTAGTGTTGGATTAGACACTTGGGAGATACAGATTCTAGCTTCACGTAGCCGTGAAGCTCACAGGGTGACTTTGGGCCAGTCACTCACTTCTGACCTAACCCACCTTACAAGGTTGTGAGGGTAAAAAGGAAATATGTAAGTTGCCATGGGTTCCTGACAAGACAAAATTACAATATAGTAATTTAAATAAATTTATATAACTGTAAGAGAATAACTATTGTCATCCTGTATAATCAAGTGTAACTTCCTCTGAATTTGGAGCTTACTGCCTAGTAAATTTGAAAAGAATTGCAGCCTACAATGCAATCATATGCATATCTCCTCAAAAGTCCCATTGTGTTTAATAGGGTTTATACGAATTAAGTATATACAGGATTGTAAACACTTATATATTAATAATAAATCTTTCTTCCCCTAGCCACTTAAAAAACCAAACACAAACCTGTATTCATTTTCTGTATGACAACTGCCTTTTCAAAGTGTCATGTTTTGTAGTAAAACATACTTGCTCTAAACTAAAAGAGTGCCTCTAAACTCTTGTGCCAGAAATATTTTTTCAACTGTTGAATTTGCACAAACATTTATCCAAAGTAGTACATGAATACGTGTCCTGATTTTCAAATTTATGGGTTCAGATTCCCACACAGACAAATTGAATGGCTATGAATAAACCTATCTGGGAAACAACAGTTTTTAAGACTTACCTATATGATTGTTTTAGAGACACTTTGCTGATGTTATACTTCGAAGTAATTGTTAGAATAGTGCTTTTACATTGCTCTTTTCAAGTGATATTTGATTTTCAAGCAACAAAAGCAGTCTGGTTGATTTATTTTGAAAAACTAAACAGCCCCCTGCTGTTATATAATAACATTGCCCAAGTATAAATGAACTATATATGACCACAGGGAGACATGTCCAATTTCAGTCTAGCCATCCTTGCCTAATGCGTCTGTCAGGTGTGTCACCAGCAACAGATGTTTGTTTGACAAAAGACCTTTTTATTCTGGCTAATTAAGCAGTTAGACACACCCGCCTGTTAACAGGCCTGCTTTGTACAACCAGCACTAGCTGAAATCATGTGAATCTACAGATAAATAGGCCACATTTTGAAAGAAGACTAATTAACCCCAGGAAAGGAAAAGAATACCACACTAACCCAGCTGCTGATTGTAACAAGATTAGCATTTCTTCAATTTAAAGCAGTACTGTTTAGAAAACATGTTTTATTACAAAATTTATTTCCTCCAGCATTCTTTTGGAAAACTTCTTCAGGGTTATTTAATATGCTCAAGATACACAGTAGGGATTCTTCTCTGTTCCGCGCTTTACATACCAGAATGAATGGTTTAACAATATGATCCATCAATTACCTAGCAAATCACACAGTACAAATATGCCATCTTAATAGTAATTATTTTTAGTAATCACTTTCAACAGCAATTAATCTGCTATTTTAAAAAGCAGAGTTTGTAAAGTCTTCTTGTACTACGTCTGCTTTACTGTCTATACTAGATGCTGCTGCTGGTTCCTAATTCAGCATGGAAAATATAAGAGTAATATACATTCAACTACATTATTTTTTCCTTTCTCCCCCAACAAAAGAGAAAACTTATCTAGCCAAAATCTGAACTTGATTAATCACAAGGAATCAAAGGGGTTTATTTATATAACTTACATTTATAAATGATCAGGATTGTGCATCATGTATTTTTCCAGTATAGAAACATTCCTTGTATTTTTAACAATACTAGTTACACAGAATTAATACATGGACATGTAAGTTACACAGTACAAAGTATTATGTTTTTGTTCCATGAAACATATGGGTACTAATACCCAGTAATGTGGGTTTACTAGAAAATTGTGAATTAGAACATTTTCTGGAAATAGAAACATGTTCTGGAAATGGATAATCTTCAGCCCCCCTGTCATTGCTGAAGACTGATTACAGGTTGTTCTTCTCTTCCTTTAAGTAATATTCTAGGGAACCTGCCTTGTCTCCTACTCTTGTGCTCTGAGTGTGACATCTTTCATTTTGTCTTTTTTTTTTTTTTGGCTTGTTTTTCTGAAACCACTTGCTGCCACCAATGAAAGTTCTTCCATTGATATGCACGGAGGACTTTACAGTCACCTTAACTGGCTCACTACCCATTTCCTTACTTTTTTTGGGCAGTACAAGTGTAATGTTTTTAAAACAAACGTTTTGGACCAGAATGGATACTGCTGGCAACAGTATCCCCATCCTCTCTTCCCCCCATGTAGTGCCTCATGAACTTTCCTAATCTGCTCTGGAGCGTGGGTTGGGCACTCAAATTTTAGAACCAACTCAGTATATATATACAATGCACACCTTTCAGTTAAGCTCTAGCTGTATGAGGCTACATCCAAGGGAAGGTAATAATATACAATCTCAATGCTGTATTGAGAAATGATGTTTAGACGTTTGTGAGTTGTAATATCCAGTGTGGATAGAAATGAGCCATAGGAGATCAGCTGACGCACTAAAAAAGGATGGCACTAAAAAAGAATACATCCCCTGCTTATTTCTATTATCCTGATACACTAAACTCTCCAGTTTACCAGAAGAATAAAAGGAGAGCTATCACAGGGAATTTCATGGAAAAGACATTGCATCAGTGTACACAAAAGCTGGGCTGTAGCTTGCAGGTGGAAATACCTTCCTAGTCCTTTATTACTTGCTTAGTGCACTGAGAAAAGCAGCAGGGGACTACTAGGCTCCTAGTAGGAGGGAAAAAGAGATGTTACAGTAGACTATATTGAGACTGCACTTTATCTCCT